GTCAGTCTGGGTCAGTCTAGCCCCCAGCTTCAAATACTCAGTAGTAATCTGAAACAACCAAACAAGCAAAGTAAGCCAAACTCAAGAAAAAGGAGCGAAAGGCACTTTTGGTAGCAGGTAGTAGCAGACAAAGCAGAAGACTAGGCGTTTCCTCTCAGTCATCACTCTGTTCAGCTGTTTCCTCTGTATTGCTCTCAGGAAGAAAGTGCACGAAGGACTGTGTTTATGAGCCTCTTTCTAAAGCTTGTACAGTCACAGGTGAGGCTCTCATGGAGTGCTTGAATAATTATCTCTTGTTAGGAATGTATCTGTAATACCTTAAGATTCTTCACAGAAATTAAAATAGTACTATTTGATGAGGACATTAATTTATTCACTTAATGTGGATAAGAAACAGAGCTACTTTTAAGAGACCTGTTCCTTATCTTCACAGCCTACATGTCTGGAAAATGAGCTGGTGGAGTTGCCCCTTTGGGGTTGACCCTGCCATCTACATCAGGGCTGGTCTTTATGAGCCTCTTCCCAGAGCTGGTCCAATCACAGGTGAGGCTCTAGCCCTATGCCCATCCTGCATAGGCCTGCTTTAGATATGCCAAATGGTTTTTTTAGCAAATACTTGGGATTTTTCTCATAAGAAATGCATAGATACCCTTAGGGCATGATGTGGCATCAGCTTGCTAAAACTGCAGATATTAAAGGTTGCAGTTAATTTTTTGAAGTATTTCATTAGATCGTGTCAGTATCTTTTCAAAGATATGCACTGACAAATATATCTGTGATTCCTAAATTTCAGTTTGGCTTTTGTATTTGGATTTACCATAGTGAATTCATCAGAGTTATGACCCAACTTGTTTTGCCTATCATCTCTGACATATGCCTGAAGCAAGTTATTTGAGATCATCTTTTTCTGATCATGAGCCCAAATCTTCACATTATATTCATTTTTTTCTCCTATATAAAATGAATGGAAGCCCGAATGGTGAATATTGTTGAGATTCTCCAAATATTCTGACTGTTATGCATGCTATTCTGGTGGATTTATTTTGTTTATTTTTAATTTTTGTTTTTATTATTAGGCACACTGATTGATGACCCTTTTTACTATTTGGACAGTTACCATAATCAAAAGAAAATAATTTATTATGTCTAAACTGATTACAGAAAGTTATACTTTTCAAAGTCCTTAAAAACACTTGAAGTTTCTGTCTCTGGTAAGAGGTCAGAAAAGCAGGGATGTGGAATGTGTGGCCCTGTAGTTGCTGGCTGTACCTTCTATAATCCCTCACTGTTAGCTGTGGGAGTTGCAGTCTTCCAGCAACTGGAAACCCATATCTTCCCAAATACTGCTGTTAAGGCATAGCATTTCCATTGAGCATTTTATCACATTCTTAATTGGTTTAAGGAGAAAACTGGGGGAATTGTAACTTTATATATTACCATCTTGTCAGGAATGAGTCTCAGTTACTGACCCTCATCCAGTCCATTATCGAGCTCAGGCCCAGGTTCAGGACAGCAACAGCATCTCCCACAGGCTTCATATCGATGTTAAAGAGCATTGGGGACAGCATTGAGCCCATGATGCAACCTCCATGGCGCAGAGCAGCTCTCCCCCAGCACTACCTGCTGGACCCGGCCAGCCAGGTAGGAGTGGAACCACCACAGAGTGGTACCCCCAACCCAACCACAGCCAGCCTGTTCAGAAGGACACCATGGTCGATTTTGTCAAAGGCCACTGAGAGGTCAAGGAGAGCCAACAGAGTAGCACTCCCTCTGCACAGATCATCATACAGGTGACCAAGGCCAGCTCAGTCCCAAACCCAGTCCTAAAGCCAGATTGAAATGAATGCAGATAATTTGTATCCTCCCAAGAGTGCCTACAGCTGCCCAGCCACCATCTGTTCCAACACCTGGCCCAAAAAGGGGAGATTAACAGTGGTCTGATAGTTACCCAGTATCCTTGGATCCAGGCCTGACCTTTTTAGGAGTGGTCTCACTGCCTCTTTAATGGGACAGGGACCACTCCCTCTCTTAATGAGGCGTTGACAGCCTCCTGGATTTTTTAACATAACTAAATGACATGGACAGTTTTTTAAACTCATATTTTTATTGCTTTTTGTTTTGTAAAATATTTTGATAGCTGGTCTGAAAATGAGGATTTTTTTTAGATGAAAAAAAGCTGCAGATAAGACATTAAACAAAACACCAAGACAGGAACAGACAAAAGAGCTTGATGTTACTGTGTTAATGATGATTCTGTGTTGTCAAAAATCTTTCCCAGCAACTCTTTCTAACAAGGCAGTCCATATGTTGGTTCCCAGTTGAAGTCTACAGTGCAGTATTTGTAGGTAACCTCTATGATGCTTCAGCAAGCTAAGCTAGGAAGTCAGTTGACATTTTGACCTGGTTCGTAGAACATAACAGACAAGGGTATGGATTGAGTGTGTATTGTTCTTATTGAACTATGCATTGCTGTGTTGCGTGAATGAAACTGAGTTTCATGGTTTGTTAAGGACAAAGAATTTTTGAAGAGAACTCATGGTTTGTTCTTGGGTTATAAGCTGTTGGTTGTTGATAATTAACAAACCACAGTTAATACAGAATACAGCTACTCATGATTCAGTGACAACCCACAGTTCAACGACAACCTGTAATGAACCATATTGAACCCATCCTCTGGGTTGTTATGTTTTGTGAACCCAGAGTGGTTATTTATTTGTTGTATTCTGGTTACTCAGTTGTACTCTGTATAATAATGTTTTATTAAGCTTTCCCTTTTTGATGTGTGCATGCTAGAATAAACTTCAGTCAAATTAATTTATTTTTAACATGTATATACTGGCTTCTTTGATTAAAAAGCCATTGAAGCAGGGCACAGAGCTTGTATAAAAACAACAACATTAAAAATAGTAAAGCACTTACAGCATGAAAGCTACATAATTTAAAAAGATTGAAAAAACAAGGAGGTCAGTCATAGATCTTAAGGGAGTACACAGTTTAGAAGTGACACATATATGCCTGACAAGCAAGCTTCTGCATGCAGTGGTACCCTATAAAAGGCATCTCCTGCAGGTATTAATATCTGGGCAGGTTCATAGTGAGACAGGTAGTTCTTGAGATAGCCAGGTCCTAAGCTATTTAGGGCTTTAAAGATTAAATTAAATTGAGCCCAGTGCAGGTATTTCAAGACAGATGTTTTGTTTATATTCAGTAGCAAAACACCACCATGTTTTGAACCAACTCTAACTTCTGGGAACTCTTCAAGGGGAACCAACATAGAATACTTTTCATTAGTCTATACATTAGACATAGATTACTGTTGCTAAGTCAGATCAATTCAGGAAGATTGCGACTGATGCACTAGAATTGTGCGTACGTACACCTTACCACCACTGCTGCCTAAAGATGCAGGGACAGTGGAGAATCAAATAGTATTCAAGTTGTGAACAGGATCCTTGAGGTGGAGTGCAGCCCCTCCTAGCACAGGATCCAAAATCCTCCAATCTCAAGTAAGGCTTTTCTCCTGACACTTCTGCTTTGTTGGAATTTACCCTCATCTTTTTTGTCTCTGTTCATCCCAGTTGCTAGTTTCTGATGCTGCTTTACTGCCAGAAAGACATGGTGTATAGCATATGACTTGATATAGGTGATGTCTTAGCACAGGGGTCCTCAAACTTTTTCAATAGGGGGCCAGTTGAAAGGCAGCGGCTACATGTGTGGGCCAGTGAGGGGGAGGGCTGGGCGCGCGGGCCGGTGAGGCATCGTTGGGTGCGCGCAAGGTGGCATTGGGTACGCAAGGCAGTGGCGAGCGGGCATGCGTGGGGGAGGCAGGCGGCAACTTGCTCGCTTGGAGATGGTTTTAAACTCGCTGGGAGATCTCCCAACGAGTCCAAAACCATCTCTGAGCAAGCAAGCCACCACCTCCCACATACGTGGGGGTGGCGGCGCAGGCCGGATGAATGGGCATGGTGGGCCAGATCCGTCCCGCGGGCTGTAGTTTGAGGACCCATGTCTTAGCATTTTAGATGGATATGCGATTGTAATAAAGTAAATAGTTTTGGAGGCAGTAAGCTCTGGGACACAAGTTATTAAAAACAGTATACAAATCTGGAGCCATATAATCTAGCTTTTTTATGCTTTGGAGATCTGGTGAAATGCCAACTCTCAAATTCTGTTTAATAGGCCTATTGGTCAGAGGCAATACAAAAGTTGAAGCAGTCACTGAATATTACATTTGTAGCTGATACTGGTTTGGGGAGGCAGAGTGGGCTGGTTCCCTCCTTCCCGTCCCCCTCTTTACAGAATTCTTCAAATGTCAGCTGATAGTATACTATAGTGCTTATTTTGTAAGTTCGAATGGCCGAACGTACATGCTAATAGGGATTTCACCTACTCATTACTTTTTATATGCTGTTTGTTGTTTTTGTTTTCTATTTTCAGCATCCATTTGCTTACTTTATTGACCTGAAGCATTTTAACTTGCAGTACAATTTTCCTTTTATATTCACAGGATTTCAAAATGATTTTTCTAGTTTTATAATTCTGTATTTCTTTCAAATATGTATTTATTTCTTTCAGATCATGTATTTATAAAATAACAAGTGTTCTTGTTTGATCTCTAATACAGACCGGGTCAAAAGTAGATAGACAGTACTGATCAGGTCATGTTCAGCCTCTTGGGTGCTCTAAATGTCCTCCATCAACTTTGCAACATTCCTGGAACCTGTCTCCAACCCTGTGACGCAAATTCCAGTTAGCACTAATGTCGATATACTGTATGCTTGTGAGATGAACTCCTTCAATTTATCTGCTGTGTGAGGTCCTCCATGACCCAGTCAGTACTGTATACCTTTGGCCCACACTTTATTTTGAGAGTATTGCTAAAACTTTGTCCTCTATGGACATTTGGACATCATGATTATAGATAACAATGATTATATTGAACAATTCTTTGTTGAAAGACAAGTCCATTGTGATGAATAATTTTAATTCTTTTCTTACAGGTATTGCTTCTATGACAGTTCCAGTATACATTGCAGAAGTTGCTCCACCCCACCTCCGAGGCAGATTAGTTACTATAAATACACTCTTCATCACAGGAGGGCAGTTCTTTGCAAGTGTTATTGATGGAGCCTTCAGTTATCTTCCAAAGAATGGATGGAGGTTAGTGTGAATTTTTTAAGTCAAAATGAAAGGTGCCCTAACACTCATTTCATTTATATAAAATATGTAGATACATGGGTATAAATTATTTTCTTGGCAATGTCCTTTGTACTTGTAAATTTGAAATTCTGCTTTCCCTAATGAATAGTCATAAAAGGGGGAAAACCTTCAATAGTACTGGAGAGCTCTTCAAAATGTGTTACATTTAAAAGCACAATCTGTAGACACTTATTTAATTCTCGACAAGCTTGGAATCTTTCTTATTGTTTGAGATGTAGTCCTTGATAATTTAATTGGTTCTGAATAGTGATAGCAAATGCTCATGGAGAACCTATTAAAATATATTAATGGACTGCATCAAGAAGATAAAATTTTATTTTTGGAAGTTATAAATCAGAATGTAGAAGTTCTGAAGCAAATGCAGCCATGATGAAGGTTCACTTCCTTGAGAACCTGTACTTTACTTTTTATAGTACTGAAATATTGAAGTCCTTCTGTTTCCATAATAAGTAGTGAAACAACCCAAAATCAACCCAAAATGTTTTCTAAATATCCAGTTTGAATGGACTGTTGACTTAATTTATTTGCTGCATGTGTCTACTGTCCGACTGGCAAATGTCATCAGAAAGGTTTAAAATGTCCCCAACACCACCGAAAAATAACCAAACAAAAACTATAACCTTTATCAAAAACAAAAACAATAGAATATTAAACACTGAAAACATTGAAAAAAAATTAAACATTATGTACTGTATTTTCTCTAGTAAATTCAGAAATGTGTTATAAAATGGTTCTTCATGGATACTTGTATTGCCTTTGATTCTTCTATGCTTATTTATTTAGTTTGAACTATTGGGCAGTTGGCTTGGCGAAACTGCATTCTAAATAATTGGCTTATATGTGCACTGCTGATCAGAGCATGTGGCCAAAGCAAGAGCAGAATGGCTTTCCAAGTAGCAATCTTTGAAGGTTTAGGAAAAGGGAAGAGTTTTATGTCCTATTTCTGTTCTTCAACACTTACATTTCAGTCTCTAATTACCAAAATGTCTTGTACAAAGGGAAATGCTCTTTAAGGCAGCAAAGGAATATAATGTAATATTTCAAACTTGTGTGGAGATATTCCAGTAATTGAAGAAGCACTTATAGAAGCAGTCCTGCTCTGTGAGTCAGTAGCATTTCATTTAAGCTAGCAGAAACTTCTTTCGAGCTGCTTTCTGTGGAGAAAGGCAAGGAAATTTAGAAAATGTAGTCATTTGCTTGAGTGTGTGGGGTGCTCTGTTTGTCAAAAACAGAATTGTAATGCAAAAATTGCCTGATCACTGCTTGAACTATGGGGGCATAGAGGAAGCCCAGTTCCTTTGCACTTTTAGAGAGTTATACAGGAGACATGCTTACTTTGACTAAAATTAAGGACTCAGGAAGTGTAAATTCCATTAATTCAAGGAAATGTATCCAATGAAGAAGTTGCCTTCAGTTGCTTCTAGCTATGGACAATCACCAGTAAAATCTGAAGCCAGTCAGATGTATTTTGCAGTTGCTTTGCTAAGCGTCAATTCTAATAATCTAAAATCAGTCTGAAGCATATGTATTCTATATCTTGGATGAATTTCAACCAATGAACCAATGAATTTCAACCATGGGTGAATTTCATGGTACAAAAGTAGCTGATCTGCAAAGAGCAAAATGTTAACACGAACTTTGTAGGGAATATCTGAAAATGTACTGGGGATGCCAAAAATGTATACACATTTTAAGAGATGTTACCTATGTATTACTTTTCGAAGTTGAATTGAATCATGGTAGCAATGTGTGGTCACTGTTGCTCAAGCAGTAGTTCGCCGTAATCAGAAGTGTCTGGATGCTGATGGTAACCACTTTGAGCACCTCTTGTAATTGCAGAAGTCAAATGTGACTTGTATTCATCTTTTGTTATTGGTATATATTGAGTATTACAATTGTAATACATTTTTTCCTTTCTTAAAATGTGCATACATTTTGGTACCCTCTGTATTTGGTATTTCTTTAAATCAGATTCTACAGAAATTTTGAAATATAAACTATGCTACCTCTATCTGCTTATTTAGAGAAATATGAAATTGTTTCAGAAATAGGATAAGACCCAAAGTCCTTGCTATCCGCTATGAAGAGAATCTTGATAAATCTACATTAAAGAGACTTTTTTTTCCAGGTATATGCTGGGCCTCTCTGCAGTTCCAGCTGTCATACAGTTTTTTGGCTTCCTCTTTCTTCCTGAAAGTCCTCGCTGGCTCATACAGAAAGGGCAGACTCAGAAAGCACGTAGAATTTTATCTCGGATGCGGGGAAATCAAGCAATAGATGAAGAATATGATAGTATTAAGAATAACATAGAAGAAGAAGAAAAAGAAGATGGAGCAGGTAGGCTGAATTACTGTTGCCTTTTGTTTTGACATATTTTTGCAGTGCAGCAGCATTTTAAAAGATTACTTGAAATACTTTTAAATTTAACTGTATGTTAATTTAAAAGATATCAAAGTTGCCTCTTATTTCCTTAGTTCTGTGCATGTTTACTCAGAAGTCATTTCATTAGCTGCATTCACACATGACAAACAAGCCTGCATGGTTCACAGTTTTTTGCTATGATCTGCCTGACAGGAAATCAAGTGGCTTCTACTTTCTCATGGTTTCCATCCTCTCAGCTCAGTCCTCCTACTGTTAGCATGTAGCCCATCAGCACTTCACCTGAAATTCAGTCCCAAAGTGTATTGCTCACTGCCTCTTCCCCATTGGTCCACACATAGAAGATGGATGGCTGTGGTAGCTCCTGCCACTCTTTCCAGAGGACTCAGTGGTAATTGCATACCAGGACTAGATTCATACAACATAGCAAGCCATATCAGTGCAGAGAAACCTTAGAACAAGCTGTTGTGCCTTAAGGTTTCCAAAGACCAGACTTACCATGGTGAAATAAAATGATTGGGTTGGGATGAACCCTTTTGAAATTCATCCCTCTTGTATCTGTGGATTTCCTTTCATGCTCAATAAACCAAGCCGAGCCAAGAGGAAGTCTGCAAATGCACGTAGACTCTGCTTTAGCAACCAGCAACCTTCCCTGTCAGCAGCTGCAGGATATAGAAGAGGATCACTGCTAGTAGTCATTCTTGGCAATGCCAGCAAGCAATCTTTCCTTCCAATGTAGCTGGAAGCAGCAACACCAGGCTTGGAAGAGGAGCACTGCTAGTGGCAGCACTGGGCATGGAAGAACTGAGCTGCTTGTGCAGCGTTTTGGGCTCAATTCCTGGTGAATGCTCTGGGAATACTGGGCACACTGACCAGGAACTTGGACTCAAGGCAGCTGAAACACAAACCAGAGTCTGGGGAGCCCAGGAAATCTGATAGAGGCCTAGTTCCAAACAGATTTCCTGCACATCACTAACAGTCACTGGGATCATTGACAGATCAACAGTGATAAAAACGACCATGGCTTGTTGTGCTGTCTGAACCCAGCCACTATGATCAATATAGCTTATTTCCTGGTCAAGTGTGTATGCGTCTGATCATTCAGGAGAAAAAAGATGGTAGAGGAGCATTTTAAAATAAATTATATGTTACAAAGGTAATGTGGGGCATGACAATCAAAATAAGTAAAACTGAATCTGAACTGATCTTGAGAAGAATATTGCTCACCCTTCATTAGCAAGATGAATGTTTTTACCATGCTTTTCCTGCCTAAACAACCTAATAGATAGTTTTTCCTGTCCAGCCTTTTCTTCGCACACAGTACATTTTTCATAGGTGATGGAACAGACTACTTGTTTGAAATTAACTGAAAATTAATTATATGTGAATAGAATGTATCACCTTTGTATATATTTATATATACGCCACACATGTGCTGAAACATATGTTACACATGTGGCTCTGCAATAAATTAATCTCAGTACTAAAGAACAACAGCTTGGAATCTTTTTACAAAACAAAAAGGAACTTCATTTACAGCATTCAGCATTATTTTTAAAAATGTATTAATTTGGAAAAATCTGTAAAAAGATTTGAGAGTCCATTAACTTTTCTTAGCTGATTCTGTAGTGCTTTATATAGTTTTATTGTGATAAAATATGTTACAGATAGAGATTTGTCCTTTATACCTTTCATACTGCAAAGCTGAATCTAAGCTTTTTAGCTTTTTTAGTATATCAGAAGATCAAAATATATTTGGAACTTGGACAGATATGACCTGTGCTCTGAGTTCTGTCACAAAGTTTTGTGGATGAAACACTTCATTCAGTTAGTATATACTATAACAAAGATCATATCTTTATATCTCTGATACTTTGATATCAATTTAAAGGCTCCCTGAATCCTAGTCTCTGGTAATTCCAGTATACTAGTAACCATGCTTCTAGGCAATGCTTGTCCTGTGCTTTTGGTAACTCTCAGGATAGCAAAGAATCTTCTGATACCTTAATGGGTGACAAATGCATTATTGCACAACTTTAAATAGTGGTGGTCTTACATGCAGTATTCCTCAGATCTTACAATTTTATCTAAGATTAACTAGAGGTATTGTGGAGGAAAAGTGACAATTGTCCTAGAAAAATTGAATGGAAACCATGGGAAAAAGACTTGGATTTGGACTATGGAACTGGAGCAGGGAACTTACAACTTTCCCCATTCAATTATCATGATTTAAAATCTAATTCTGCCAGTGCTAATTTACAGGTAGCTATTTGGCTAATCCTTCAGTGTTTATGGTACATATTGTTTTATAAATTATTGTACATTTATCTTTCCCTGCCCTTCAAATCCAGTCACTATTCCTACTAGAATTGTCCTGAATGTGTGTGCCAGCTTAAAACCTGATGTTTCAGTGGTCCAAAATCATGGCTTCTGCCCCTTCCTTCATTTGCCTCTTTATGAGTGTCTTCTTTTCCCCCTGTGATCTCTACCATAGTTTAACAGTGTTTCTATATTGGGCTAATTCAGGTTAGAGCTAGCTATATTGTTCAGAAACCATAGTTTTAAGTAGTTTTGAATCTGTGGTTTCAAGCAATTCTTTTAAATCATAATCCTAGCTTTAATCACAGTTTCAGTACAAGAATAAACCGAAATTACAGTTGCAGCAACTAGGTGAAATGAGGGATTGAAGATGCCTGATATACATTCCTGATGTTGAAACCATAGTCAGTATCCATTGGGGTTGTTCCTCTTCTTCTTATTCCATTAAGCTTGTGGGATCCACCATTTGTACAAAGGGGCTTTGGCATTCTGAAAACAAGTGGAAGTGGAATGGTTTGCCCCCAGAGTCTGATAGAACCAATTGGTTTACCTTGAAGGTTTTTCTGGCCAAGATGATTGGTTCTCCTGTCAAAGCCCAGATTGCCCTATGGAATTCAGAGGTGACCTGTGTATGGATACAATCACTTGTAAGCACGCTTTTGCCATGGGCACAGCCTACATGACACCATGGTGCAATATAATGTACATGCTACAATATTATTACTGCAATATGCTGTACATGGGGCTGCCCTTGAAAATGGTCTGGAAACTTCATTTGGTGTAGAACAGGGTCACCTGTCTGTCGACTGGGACAGGCCAGTACAAACATGTAAGCCCTGTTTTCTATTGATTGCACTGGCTACCAATTGAAGTCTAGGCCTGTTTCACAGTGCTTATAACTTCAGGAAAGACAGAATTCAAAAACAGGATTTAAAGGAAAGGCCAGATCATAGTCACAGCACAGGCTGAGATTGGGAACCAGAACAATGCATGAGGGTAGAACATGGTCAGGAACAAGTCAAGGATTGAGACAGAGGTGCAGGTACCTTAATCAGGATAACAAGCCAGGATATGTGACATGGCAGGATATATGGCATGGCAGGAACCAGATGCAGCAAGGGTCAGATAAGATGCAGGAGCTGAATCACAGCTTGCAAGGAACCCTGTGCTACTGAAGTAACATGGCAAGGCAGGATAAAGGTCAGGCAAGATTCAAGGAAACATGGAAAGGCAGGAAACACTGAAGGAACCAGAACAGGACTGAGGTGCAGTAAAGGTACAGCAGCAAGCAGAGGGACCTGTGCTTCTGAGGCAACATGGCAAGACAAGAGACACAGCAAGATTCAGGGGTAGACACTACAACAAACAAGAAGACCTGCATTGCAGAGGCCAGTTCTGGAGGGAAGAGCTTGCTCTTATATAGTTCTTCATGCAGGACTCCTAGTTGGCACAGTCCAGCAGGGTCTGGGACCAATCCTGCAAATGTGGCGGTAGCTCTGGTTCTGGCCAACAGAGCATCCCAGATCCTGACAACTAATCATGTCCTCATGGTTGGTAGAGTTGGAGGCTCATGTTCAGAGGCGCTTGGAACATATATGATACTGAGGATGATGTGGATGGCAAGCTCTCACTCTACTCCCTGTTTCAAAGTTGGGAAGGCGTGGTGTTCATTTCTGTCACAATGAACTTTGGAAGCACTTGTAATGTTTCTGAAGTTCAGCAGAACTGCAGGGGAAAGCCCTCCAATTTCATATCTTGGTTTGTCCCTGTTTCACTTATGTTTACAGCTGCCAGAATGGGGAGGGACACTTGTCATGGTGGTTGTTTGTCAACAATCCATTCAGTGCATTCCTGCAGTGTACATGCATTCCCAGTGCAGTCAAACCAACAATCTCACTTTGGTTTGCTCAGATCATATGATATTAGCAGAGCTGGTGCACCTGGTATCTAGGCTGGGTAAATGAATATGGTAAATACTACAAAAAACAAAAGCTGGCTTAGACCTTCTCTGTTGCCTTCACAGCATATTTTGTGCCTGTTCTTGGAGGCTTGCACCATTTGTATGGTATTTTTCATATTTAATACAATTACATTGTCCTTAGAATTGCTAATAAAGTTCACTTGAGTAGTGAAAGGCTGATTCTGCTTTCTTAACAAGATCAACATTTTAAATTATTTAAGGCACAAGTCTATGCATGTTTGGACGGAAAAATTGTTATCCAATTTTGAACATTCCCCAGATTAATTTATTTTTAACTTGATACAAACAAATAAGTGCACAGTGACTTGATTTACATACACACGTTGTTGGGGTTGTTGGATCCACAGTGGGTTGTTCTGTTGTATGAATCCAGGCCAACAACAATATTGTGCTATTGTGAAAAAACGATAGTAAGTCACTTGGCAAGAGTGGTAGTGCTCCCAGTGCCTGCCAAGTTACAGCTGTCACACTGTGGAAATGGTAGTGGAATTCTGAATTCATGAAGCTATTATTACTATTTAAAGAGGCCTCTTCAATCAAAATTCTCTGGGTGATTTATGATATTTATGATTTATAAATAATACAACTCAACAAGAATTTCTAAAATTAAAAATTAAAACAATTTAGCAGCTAAAACAATATATGGTACAGACTACGC